AGAAATAAGCTTCCAATTTTAAACTATATTTATATTTTTATAATCATTTTTCTACACCTGACTGCTACAGTAGTAATTTTAATTTTACTAAACATGTATTTTGTTAACATTATTTATGTATGCAACCAGAAATACTAGTTGGTTCAACCTCTTTAACGATGTTGCGAGCAAAGGGGGTGCCAAAATTAGTTATATTTAATTTCACAGTATACTATTTCACAAAACGTATGTTATCTTAGATGCTACAAAGATATAAAGAAATAGATTTGTTGATCACTGAGACTTGTAAAAAATGTCTGCTAAGAAGAAAAGGATTACTGACTGAGCTACATTTGTTTAATGAAAGTCAGTTTCCCCCCTTGAGGGTTGCTCCAGTTCTTGGGTGGTGTCTACAGTGTAATGTAGGATTAAATAATGCTTTTCGAATCAATGAGTTACGTATTGTTCCCTACTGCATTTAGCATTTATTTATTTATTTCAAACATTTATATCACGTCTTTCTCAACCCCTGAGGGGGGCACTCAGGGCAGCTTACAAATGTCAGCCATTAGATGCCAACAACAAACAACAATCATCTTACAAAGCAAATTGACGTTAAATAAAACAATAGTACAGAAATACATTAAAAATTAAAACATTATAAAAATTAAAAACACTGCCAAGCCCAAATCCAAATCACAGTCCAGAGTTCCAGTCCAAAGTCTATCCATTGTTGGTTCTCATAGGTTAGTTGCAGTTACTGCTCAGTCAGCTACCCAAATGCTTGGTCCCAAAGCCATGACTAGAACTTTTTTCTACAGGAGAGGAGAGAGCTAATCACCCTGATTTCACTAGGGGTGTGTTCCATAGATGGGGAGCCGCCCCCGAGAAGGCCCTGTCCCTCATACCCGGCAGTCACACTTGCGAGGGTGGTGGGATCGAGAGCAGGGCCTCCCCTGACAGTTGTAAGGTCCGAGGTGGATCATAGATATATTCGGGCAATGGAAAACATCCTTTAATATCATGACTGGGAAGTTGTATTGCAGTTCAGACCTCTGTTAATTCAACAAGCATGTGCTAATAATTTGTTTTTATGACAGTCTTCCTCGTTTTGTTTCGTCTCTCACTACTGTAATGAAACACCTTATTCTCTGTATACCAGTACAACTCTGCATAATTTTCCATCATGTGATAGTACTAAATCTGTCATGATTGAATTTAGGTTATATAGCATCATATTGATAAGTCTTGTGATGCCAAGAATATTTCTTTGCTGTATCATCATCAATAATAATTATCATCATCATTATATCTAAATTTTTAAATGATTTTAATTTTAAATGATTTTCATATTTAAAAACAATAATTGAAAACTTAGGAAAACATAAGGCAAATGTTTATTTACCCTATTTATATCTCGCCTTTCTCTACCCAGAAGGGGACTCAAGACGGCTTACATAGCGAGAATTATTCAATACCTTAAAACACATACATTTACAGTAACATTAAAATTAAATTTAAATTAACACATATTAAGTAAGCATTTAAAACATTTAAAAACATTACATTCAGTATAAATCAGTGGGGCCACCACTGAGAAAGCCCTGTTTCCCATTCTCACCACTCGCACTTGCAAGGAAAGCGAGATTGAGAGTAGGGCCTCTCCCGACAATCTTAATCTCCGAGATGGTTCATAGGGGGAGATATGTTTGGACAGGTAAGCTGGGCTGAAACCATTTAGGGCTTGATAGGCTAAACCCAGCACCTTGAATTGTGCTTGGTAGCAGACTGGCAGCCACTGGAGCTGGCGCAACAGGAGGGATGTCCTCTCTCTTTATGCTGCTCTGGTAAGCAACCTGGCTGCTGCCCATTGGACTAATGGAAGCTTCCGAATAGTTTTCAAGGGAAACCCCACATAGAGGCAGTACAGTAATCTATACAGGATTTAACAAGAGCATAAACTATTGTGGAAAACATAAGGTTGCAATCTTTGGGAAAGCTCCAGTAAAGTAGGCTGTGTGCAACCTGTGTGGTGCACTTCTCCTAGCTGTGCTATGTGAGATTGAAATCAAACTTTTGGTGTGTCTTTCTTTAAATCAAAAGACCATTGTGCAGAAATTTCAGTTATTCAAAGAATGCATAGATTACTGGCCTCCTCTCTCTCATTGGTCGAAACAGGGGGAAGTGCAGGTTTGCTAGCTGCTTTCTACCTGAAATGTCCTCATGCCTATATTTAGAGAGCAGGAAATGATGAGACCAAGCAAAGCCATCCCCTCCTAACCAGAGAAATTATAGAGAGAGAAATGTAGACATCCCATTGCACAGAAAGGTGATGAGATGATGCTAGCTGGTAGAGATAAAGTGAATTATAAAAGCATTGTTCTAAAAGATGCATATTTGTCCCTCCTATTCAACTTGGCTAGGCACTTCACATGCGTGTGAATTCTGATTTATTTATTTTTGCTTCTCTGAAAGTCTGAATAAATGTTTTTCTCTTGGTCTAAGAAACACCTGTATCATTTTTTTATCTGTCCTTGAATTCTGTGGCTGTTATTCCTGCCTAAGAGTAATACTACATAAAGTTTGTTTCTACAGAGCTGGGGTTTTGGAGATTTTTTTCCGTTCCTGTTTTAGTTGCTAACTTAACTGTTCTGAGTCTTACTGAGGAGTTACTTTTCAATTGTACACGATAACCGACAGAGGTTTTATAATTTTAATATTCATTGGTTTTTCACCTTTCTGTGTTGTTATTTTGATTATAATAATCCTGCTTTTTAATGTTTATTTTTAATGTACATTGATTCCATGCTTTTTGCTAAGTTTGCAGGAGTCTGGTTGGTTCATGCATAAGAAATTTCAATTGTTTTTGTATTTTGTATTGTTTGTCAAAATTTGGAAATTAAAGTAGTAGCTGAAAATCTTAGTGTGACAATTTGAAATGCAGCTTTGATATATGGTGTAGCCTTTAGTTTTGTGTGTATTTATTATATATTTTTTATCTTTGTTAAAGAACAAAACAGTGGGAACTTTTTGGAAGGAGTTAAAAGATTTCTATATCTTCTAAGACAGCATAGATGCTATATAATCTGATGAGTTTGCAAATACTTAGTTTCTGTTTGTGTTTACAGCTAAGCTATCAACTTAAAGTGGGGATCATGTACTGCAAGTCTGGACAAAGTACAGAAGAGGAAATGTATAATAATGAATCGGCAGGCCCTGCCTTTGAAGAGTTTCTTCAGTTACTGGGAGAACGGGTTCGGCTCAAGGGATTTGAAAAGTACCGTGCCCAGCTAGACACAAAAAGTAAGCCAACCTATTTTATTAAGATTAATAAGACACCATTACTATGTATATTGAGTCCTTGAGATGCACTGGAGTTTGGTTCCAAGGCCCTCAATGGATACCAAAATCCTTGAATGCTCAAGTCCCATTGTATACAATGGAAGAATGATGTTCCTTATATAATATGGTAAAATCAAGGTTTGTGTTTTTGGATTAAAAAATATTTCAACCCATGGATGGCTAAATGTATGAATATGGAGGACTGACAGTGTCAACCAATAGATTTGATAGTAGAATAATGGACATTTGGTGAAAAAAGCCAATGTGACAACTCGTTTTCTTCATGGAATCATTTCTGAAATGCAAACATATTGTTATGCTTTTGGAACCAATGATTTATCCGTTATCATACAGTATTTTTTTGTATTGTGTATTCTATGTGTGCGGCACTTTGGAGTGGTTTTGTGAGCTGCTCAAGTCTCTTTGGGGGGGGGGGATGGTGGTGAGATATAACTAAATAAAGTTTTATTATTATTTATTTTTATTGTGAGGAAATATAATTCTCAAGTTATGCTTAAATAGTGGGCTAATTCCTCAGAAAGTCACAGTGAATCTTTCTTTTCCCCATTAACCTTCTCATCTGCTACTCAGAAATGGTGTCATGCATTTTCTAATCCTGCAAGGTCTGCTTTTAAAGGAAAGTAGGAGCTTGCAGTGAGAAAAGTGGATTGAAGAAGGTGAACATTGGGTATTGCCCTATATAAGAAAAGCCCGTATCTGACAAAACTTTTAAGATTTGTTACTTTTGTTCTTGCTGAATATATAGTTCCACATAATCAAATAGAATTCTTCAAAGCAATGTTACCATTTCATGGTTTTGACATTGATTCATGGAACAAATATATATAACCTTTTTGCCAAGATCTTGAAATGAGAAACAGAAATACAAAACACTTTCGAAAAAGGTAAAATGAAATTACTCTTAAAACTGACATTTAACATGCAGTAAATACCTCCCTGCGTGGTTCTTGTTTTAAAAAAAACTCCCACACCTGTAGCCTTTCTTTGTGTGTTGGTTAGATTGACCCATACATATTGAGGTCCACAGTTATCTCACTTGTGGTTTAGGAAATTAAAATAAAGAATGTGCTGGGAAAGTAGAAAAGTAATTGCAAACAGTGCAGTGAATTTCCTGTTGCCATGGTTTTCCTATTGCTGACGTCTTAACTATAAGCAATGGGAAGAGAAACTATTAAACATGAAATAGTGTAGGACATTAAAACCTTAATGTATAAATTTAGCAACTTTAATGTCAAAATCAAAAGTGCAAAATTGAAATTATTGTACTTTTTTCAATTTAAATAACTTTTCTTGTATCCCTAGTCAGTGCCTTTGAATTTGCTTTTTTCTCTTGTTACATTTGGGATCTGATGTAAGAAAATATTTAGCAGAGTGGGAATGGGGAAAAAGAGAAATCCTGTATATTATTCTTCAGGTGATTGTTGAAGGGCTGTTTTTTTCCAGTTTTTTCTGAAAATACGTATTTTTTACAACCCTGGTGTACATAATTCATTCACTTTTAACTATTAATAAGAACTGTTGATTCCTTAATTTATACATTAACAGCAGAAAAAATATATACAGGGAATGCACATACAAATTGTATTAACATGTATGATTGGTATTCAGTTTGTGGGATTTTAAAAGTTATTATTTGTACACTGCTTTTCAAAATGACAGTTGACAGTAGAAGTATGTGCATGCTTGTTAGATAATCCCAAATTTCAAGTAGGTATGTATAGAATTACAAACTAATATTGCAAAGTGGTCAGTTTGCAAAATTGAACTTTAAGGGGCCTAAATACCCTGGATGCACCAGGTCTGATCGCGGAAGCTTAGTAGGGTCAGCCCTGGTTAGTATTTGAATGGAAATTACCAAGGAATATATGATGTTGGCTATATTTCAGAGGAAGTAAACTTCCTCTGCATAAGCCTTGCCTAAGAACATGTTATGAAATTCATGGAGTTGCCAGAAATCTTGTTTAATGTGTCCTGTTTTGTGTCTGGCAAATATAGCTATCTGCTTTATATGAAGTTATGGTATTGGCTCATCTAATTTGGTTTACTTTCCTCAGAGTTAATGACAAAGTCAGTATTTTAAGGAAATGTAATTTTATCCCGGTTTTCCAAGATACTTAATAGAAGCTTCAAATGAACAAGTCTGGGCCTTTCCCTGTAATATATAGTATTATGCAAAAGCAAGAAATAAGGCCCCTATACCAAGATGTTTAAAACGATTTACTCTATTTATGTAGTTCTTTTAATTCCAGATATTTCTTAGTCTGTTGTAAAGTTTTATGTAGTTAAGTTTCTCACACATACACAGTGAAGTGTTAAACCATAGAGTTAAGAAAAAATATCAAGTCTCATATTTATGGCTATATTTTTTAAGGTATGATTTTGAAAGATGTGATACTTGCAATTTTAGATCAAAATTTCTTCGTTAGAAATGTTATATTTTTTTTTAAATGCCACAATCTTTCTGTGCCTAACATTTTTTACTTTCCCCCATGTTAAGCATCTTTCTTTACTATATTTATTTATCGTGTCAGGAGCAACCAGACAGTTATATTACATTTTTAACAAAACAAACAAACGGACATAACACAAAGTTTGCAAGCTTGGTAGTTAATTAAATGTCCTTTGACCAGTATCTGGCCACTTGAAAGTGCCTCTGGTGTTGCCGCAAGGAGGTCCTCCATTGTGCATGTAGCAGGGCTCAGGTTGCATTGCAGCAGGTGGTCAGTGGTTTGCTCTTCTCCACACTCGCATGTCGTGGATTCCACTTTGTAGCCCCATTTCTTAAGATTGGCTCTGCATCTTGTAGTGCCAGAGCGCAATCTGTTCAGCGCTTTCCAAGTCGCCCAGTTTTCTATGTGCCCAGGGGGGAGTCTCTCATTTGGTACCAGCCATTGATTGAGGTTCTGGGTTTGAGACTGCCACTTTTGGACTCTCGCTTGCTGAGGTGTTCCAGCGAGTGTCTCTGTAGATCTTAGAAAACTATTTATTGATTTAAGTCATTTACGTGCTGGCTGATACCCAAACAAGGGATGAGCTGGAGATGTCACTGCCTTGGTCCTTTCACTATTGGCTGAAACTTCCCGGCAGATGTCAGGTGGTGCAATACTGGCTAGACAGTGTAATTTCTCCAGTGGTGTAGGGTGCAGACTCCCCATGATAATGCGGCATGTCTCATTAAGAGCCACATCCACTGTTTTAGTGTGGTGAGATGTGTTCCACACTGGGCATGCACACTCAGCAGCAGAGTAGCATAGCGCAAGGGCAGATGTCTTCACTGTGTCTGGTTGTGATCCCCAGGTTGTGCCAGGCAGCTTTCGTATGATATTGTTTCTAGCACCCATTTTTTGCTTGATATTCAGGCAGTGCTTCTTGTAGGTCAGAGCACGGTCCAGAGTGACTCCCAGGTATTTGGGTGCGCTGCAATGCTCCAGTGGGATTCCTTCCCAGGTAATCCTCAGAGCTTGGGATACTTGTCTGTTCTTAAGGTGAAAAGCACATGTCTGTGTTTTAGATGGATTAGGGATCAGCTGGTTTTCCCTGTAATAGGCGGTAAGGACACCTAGAGCTTCAGAGAGCTTCTGTTCTACCATCTCAAAGCTCCCTGCTTGAGTAGTAATGGCATGATCATCAGCATAGATGAAGCTCGCTGTCCCTTCTGGCAGTGACTGGTCATTTGTATAGATGTTGAACATTGATGGGACAAGCATGCTTCCCTGAGGCAGGCCGTTCTTCTGTTTCCGCCATCTGCTTCTCTGGCCTTGGAACTCAACAAAAAAGCTCCTGTTTTGTAGCAGGTTTCCTATGAGGCGGGTGAGATGGTAGTCCTTTGTGATATTATACATTTTTCTCAGGAGGAGGCAGTGGTTTACAGTATCATAAGGTCTGTGAAGACAGCTTCTGTGATCTGTTGCCTTTCAAAGCCATCTTCTGTGTGCTGAGTCAGGTTCAGCACTTGCAAGTGCTAAACCTCTTTACTATTAATCAACATGATGGTTTTAGAAACAACCCTTCTATTCTGTTTGAACATATGAGATATCATTGTTTTCTCATTGTCCTTATGCAGTTTTAATTGATAAGTACTTGCTCCTTGAATTCATGGAAATCAGAGGAAAATAGCCCTATGTCATTGGTTCTCCTCCTCATTTCCTCCGAATGGATATCTGGATAGTTGGTTCTTGACCATGCTGACTGGGTTTCTTTATGTTTAACACCAGCAACGTATGGAGAACCAAAGATTGCAAATCACTCTCTTAGGGTGCATCTACACTGTAGAATTCAGTTTGACACCATTTTAAGTGCCATGTCTTAATGTTGTGGGATAATGAGAGTTGTAATTTGATGAGGCATCATTAAATTCAGATCTGTTATTATTTTCATTTTAGAGACTTAGTCAGCATTAGAAATTGTGAATCCATGCTGGCGAAGAATGTTTTCACTGGTCATGGTCACTCACACCAATAAGCCAGGGAATTCCAGATCTTACTGCCTCCATTAGTAGAAATAGCAAAAGTTGCCAGAAAACAAAAGTGAGGTACTGTAAAATTCTTACTTTGTGGTTTTCCTACCAAGACAGAGCCTGAAGCCAGGGATTGTTGTTGATTTCAGATCAGGTTTGTTTAAAAACGTGAAAATCCTGGATAAAGAATTAAGGCAGGTCTATATAACTTCTGACCTAATAATCTGAAAATAAGTTGCCTCATATAGGGCATTTCTCAAAGCCTTAGTAATCTTCCTGGTTCTGCTGTTTGCTTAGCACTGCAAAATTGTAGAATACTTAAGCACTTGGCTCACTGTATGTTGCTTGAGGACTATGATAAGCTAATAGGTCAAAATTGGGAAGACATGGGTCACAGTTTCAGGTTTCACATTATTTTGAGCCTAATTTTTAGTTAGATTTTGAATGTTACAACTCTGCAGGAAAAGCTATTGAAATTTATTCTCTTCTCATTATTGAATGTATACCATACCTTTCTCCTGGGATGAGATCCATTGTGATTAAAATGACACCCCCCCCCCCAACACACACACACACACACACACACAAAATAAAGTAAAAGTTGTAATGCAGTGGTTAATATTCAAGGATCTGTGTGGGTGTTGTTTTCCATGACTTGCTCCAATGTGAATTAAATGCATTTCAAACATAAGTAGTGAGAGATGGATAGATTTGTACTTGTCAGGAAAGTGAACAGCCACTGTGAGGCTAAAATGTGCAAAAGAATAGTGTATCAAAAAGAAGTAGAAGTTAAGTGTTTTGGGGATGACAGGTTTGCCATACTGTACTTGCTTTGAGAACGTTTTTTTTCCTTATAAAAATAAATACTTTCAAAGTTTTGAATGGGGTGGCTATGTTTTTCCAGTCTTCATTTGCTCTGTTCATAAACACTTTTTAAAATGCTTTCCATCAGTATATCAGGGGATAACATAAGGCTGAGTTAGCATTATTTAAATAATTATTGTCTTGGATTTCTTCTAGTGTCTAGTTTTTGTGCTTCATCTCATCCATATCCATGCAACTTTGAGATGACATAATGTAAATTGCAAGGATCAATTAGATTTTTTTCTTGTATTATTTTAATTGCAGCCGATTCAACTGGAACTCATTCTCTTTATACAACCTACAAGGACTATGAAATCATGTTCCATGTTTCCACCATGCTGCCATACACACCTAACAACAAGCAACAGGTAGGATCCACTTTCAATATGTAAAACATTTCATTTGCCTTTTTTAATGCATAATGCTTAACCATGTTTTAGCACCATGTGAATGAGCAAAAGCAGACTTTAAGCTCTAGCCCTCCTCTACCTATCACCTCCTTTGCTTCAACCATGAATTGCAGATGGGAATTATCTAACCAGAGTTTCACATAATGTCTTAAGTTGGAGAAAACCATGATTAGGTTATAGATTGTTAAGATGCCTCAGTTATAAATAATGGTTAATTACATTTGCCATAGTATTTTACACAGTGCTAAACATAAAATTTATGTGTAACTGTAACTTCAGGGATAGGCAGAATCAGGGGATACTCCAAAATAAGGTCTTCAAAATCCATCAGCATGTGTAGGTGTTAACCATGGTCATTGGGGCAGGGCTTTGGAAAGAAGCCCCTAAATTCTCCATGGTGGTGAAGCCGCGGCAGCTGCAGATCCTTGTAACGGAGCCTAACTTTTGGTTGCATATAATCACTTCCCAGATCTCAACCAAGTTCCTGCACTTTATGTGTGATCAGTTGCACCTTTGCTGCTTTCGTCCTGCATTACATGATCGGTGTAGATGTGCCCAAGTAGAGTGAGGGCTGGTTTTCTTGCTCCAGTTTGAACAAGGGAGGATTAATAGAATGGGAGTGCTGCTTGTATGGCACATCATGCCAAGAGGGGTGTCATGTCTCCTCTTGTCACTACACACTGGATCGCTAATAGAATCAGGTTGCTTTCCTTGTTCATCGCCCCCTCCCCTTTTTCCAGACAACATTCTCATTTTTTTACATAGTTATATTCCTTTCCCTAGCGCTGTAGATGTAAACATTTTGAGATGAGCAATGCAAGCCACTGATCTTGGAAAACTTCAAATAAACTTCCTCTCCTCCTTAACTCTATGTTCCCTGGTGGAGAAAGTTTGGTCTAGGAGCCACTTCAGTTCTCCAGGGCCATTTTTGTGCCTGTATCCCCTTTTCATTCAAAACCCATTTTACCTAAATGGTGCCTGGTGCCTTCTGAATACTATTTTGCTTTCCTCCTGGTCAGGAGAAGCCTTTTTATATTCAGTAGAGGCATTTTCTACTAACAGGAATTTCCAGATCACTACCTGTTGTAGAAACAGCCTAAAGGAAACCAAGAGAATGGTGAAATTGGCCCCTTCCTACTACAAAGCATTGATGTACATTTTGTTATTTTTGCATTGAGTATTGTGGGTTTGTCCACTATGGGCCATTGAAACCCTTGAACCTCTGGCAGTTGCTAACCTCTTCTCTAGGGGAATCTTGTATGGGTATTTTTTCCTTCAGTGTCACTTGGCTCAGTTCCTTCTTCATTCATTTCGGGGTGCAATTGCATGCTTAAAAATTGCATATGCCCCATAACCACACAGGCAACCTGCATTGGAATTTATATCTGTGTTTTTGAAGAGCAGAAGTATAATCATTGTTAATTTATGAAATTACTGTAACATGATTTGCTCAAAGTTTGTTATGCTCATTTAAATTTTAACCAGTTTGAGTCACAGTTACTACTTATTTCAGCTACTATACTTAATACTAATCATTATAAGGATATTTGGATTTCTCATCCCCATAGGAAACTTATTTGAAACAAATATGAAGTTAGTGAGAAAGTGCAAAAATAATTTGATTCTTGATAGTGCTCCTCTTAAATAAGACCATATTTTTTCAGTACGGTGAAGATTATTATCTAGGTTAGTACCTCTAGCATTTTATAATGACTGAAAGAAAATAGAAACACTATAAGAATATAAATATAAAAATAGCAAGATAATTCTTTATATGAAAATAGATCTGAACCTGTTGTTATGGAAACTGGAGTTCCAAGCGATAGTTTGCTTCAGCTTGTCAGATATTGGCAAATTTCTCATTTATTTGTTCAGTTATGTTGTGTGTTAATGCTGGAACAGTTTCTGAATGGAAAAATAGTCAATGATTTGTGATGAAATTTGAAAACATTAATTAACTGTAATAATGAATGGTATGATATAAGAATAATATAATGTGAACCTTATTTCCCAACATTCTTGTCTTTACCACACAGCTGTTAAGAAAACGACATATTGGAAATGATATTGTGACCATTGTTTTCCAAGAACCTGGAGCAGAACCATTCAGCCCAAAGAATATTCGTTCTCATTTTCAGCACGTCTTTGTTATTGTTCGAGTGCACAATCCTTGCACTGATAATGTCTGTTACAGGTAGAGTTCCTGGTATAACTGTCAGCTCATAGTAGCAGGTCTTTATGGGCAGACATTTCTTAAATGTGTGTTGTTAATATTTATTTATTTATTTATTTATTTATTTGCGCTATTTCTATCCCGCCCAGTTAAATCAAGCACTTGGCAGACTGAAAACCATGGAGCATGGGGAATGATAGCATGTGTGTCCTCTGTATCCACATATTCAATAATCCATAGCTTAAAATATATTCCCCTCCAAAAAAAATTAATCCAAAACTGTGAAAGCTTGTTATTGTCATTTCCTTTAAGGGGCTCCATTTTACTATACTTGTATATAATGGGACTTGACTCCCCATGGATTTGGATATCCACAGGAGATCTTGGATATTAAGGGCCCACTAGACTTAAAATCCAGCTGTAGCTAATTTTGTACCAGACTGCATGAGCTAATTGCATTTTTAAAGTGAAATTTGAAAAATTAAAGTTCAGAAAGTTGAAAAACAGGATGAAAGCCTAAAAACAATATGCACCATTTTCATGGCAGTTGCTTTTTATTACTGGAAATGATACGTTTGGCAGAATGCAGCCCCAAGATTGGTTTTGCAGCCAACCAACACTTCCAGACCATCCTTATCTGTCAGGAAGGGGTTGAATTGCCCTCTAGCAGTAACCATTCACTTGAGAAATGTCCATTTTCCAGAACCAGAAGTTATATTTGCTTTGGGTTTTATATCTCCATGTTTCACTGCTTGTGTGTGTTCTCCACAGTGGGTCCAGGGGAATAAAATTACCCACCTGCCCCTGATCCACTACAGGTGGGTTTTTTTATGTGGGGAATAAAAATGTGTTTATGAAAGATGACTATGCATTGTCCCTACTGGGAAACATTCAGGACACACAGCTTAATTCAGTTAAATTTAGCACACCACCAGAAGGCTTTTTTTCTTAAGAAATAAGATACCAGATTGCTGTTGATAGCTTATGTGAGTCATTTGTTTCTCATGTGAAGTTGTTAGAGAATTGGAGGTGGAAAATCCCAAAGAAGCAATTGCACTATTGTTTGAGACAAGACCTTTGACCTGGATTGAATAGGCGAGGGCTGTGTTTTCTGTTCTCCTTTGGACAGCTAGTACATTCCACCCCGGTCTTCTTATTTAACTAATCAGTTGCAAAGAGATCACAGCAAGCCTGGAATCCAGGGTTCATACAGAAGATTGCAAGATAACTAGAGACTTAAAACTTCAGTGCTGTAAACTATTTTTAAATAGTTTGTGGGAAATATATGCAATTACTGAATTAACAAGCACATAGAGTGTGTATATATGAAAATGGGGGCATATGTGGCCACATCTTACCCTATCAATGCTATTCTGTTACTCCTTCTATCAATCCGTTGATTTTTCTGATTTTTTTTCCTCTGGCTACCTCTCCTTATGTACTTCAGCTCCTATTGTATTATAGTTCTTCTCTATGGCCAAGAGAGGCTTGGTAGGTGATGACCTTTCAGAGGCAAAAATGTTTTTGTTAGTCACATTTTTGGTCTGTAAGCTGATTGTAAATGTCATTGTTATTGCTATAACTCAACTAGTTGTTTTTAATGTTTTATTTGTGTTTTCTTGCCCTTGTTTTTATGTTTCTTATTTTATATTTGAATGTATATTATTGTTGTTCTCCCATATAGTTGCCACACTGAATCTTTAGATAAGCTTGCTAATAAAAGTAATATGAGTTAAATTACATTTTCGAAGATTATAAGTAAATTGTTTATTGATTAATATGCTCCTTCTGAAGAACAAATTGTGTAATTTATGAATAATGGCATGTGGTATCCTAAAATATTATTTATTTCTGTTCAATAAACAATAACATGTTTTCTTTCAACTTTGTAGCGTTGCTGTTACAAGATCCAGAGATGTACCGTCTTTTGGACCACCGATACCTAAAGGCATTACGTTCCCCAAATCAAATGTATTCAGGGACTTTTTATTAGCCAAAGTGATCAATGCTGAGAGTGCAGCCCATAAATCAGAGAAGTTCCGTGCCATGGCCACCCGAACCCGTCAGGAATACTTGAAAGATTTAGCAGAAAAGAATGTCACAAATACACCAATTGATCCCTCTGGCAAATTTCCTTTCATCTCACTGGCCTCTAAGAAGAAGGAAAAGTCCAAGCCTCCTCCAGGAGTAGAACTCCACAGTTCTGGTGCCGTTGTTTGGAGTCTCCATGCTAAAGACTATAGCAAGGGCATGGATATAGATGCTCTCCTTGGCATTTCTAATGAATTTGTTGTTATCATTGACCAAGATACAAAGAGCGTTGTGTTCAATTGTTCCTGCAGAGATGTAATAGGCTGGACATCAACAAACTCAAGTGTCAAAATCTTCTATGAAAGGGGTGAATGTGTTTTTGTGGAAAGTTTCAAAAACCATGAAGATATCAAAGAGATTGTCAAAAGGCTAGAGGTTAGAGATCTTTCTCCCCTCCTCTATTTTTTTTTCACTATCTGTCTCTGTCAATATTTAGTTCTTAACTTCAGGGCTGAGTAAATTGAAAACTGTCATGGAAACATGCTGAAATGGATTGGATGCATGTTTGGATTCCAATTGCAGACTAGTGAAATAAAATCTACTACTTGCATTGTCATTGCGTTTGTTTTATCAACAGCATGATTTTTCTAGTCATATACCCATCTAATCTAAAGTTGTAAGACGACTAGGACAAGGAAATACTTGTTGACTATTCCTTCTTTAGTGAAGCATTATAATATTAATGTTAACTATATTTCTAGAGATTGTTGTAAGAAAAGTTCTTGTGAACATCATCATGACTGCATTTAAAAATATTAATGGGATCTCTTTGGAAAAGGGCTAGAAATAGACAAAAGAATAAAACTGTGTGTTTCATGTGAAACAGGGATATGCAACTCCTCCCTGAGTATTCAATATATATTGCTTACCTTAATGTGTCTGTAACATAACACTTTAAGGAAGTTTATTGGGGTACTGCTGATCATATATATAAAAACAAACTCCTGGGGAAATTAGTTACTGAACCTAAATGTAACAATAGCTGTAGAAACTAGTGGTCTCGTTTTCTCATCTTGCTTCATGCCTTGTTGGTAAAAGTTATCTCATTTATTTCTCTGTTCTTGAATACGATTCATTATGCTAAACTATTTCAATTGTATTCCCAAATTCTCTCCCCCCATTTCCAGCTTGTGACAAAGGGCTGCGAGTCTGTGGAAATGACCTTACGTCGAAATGGATTAGGCCAACTTGGTTTCCATGTGAACTATGAAGGCATTGTAGCTGATGTTGAACCCTATGGCTACGCATGGCAGGCTGGATTACGGCAAGGGAGCAGATTAGTGGAAATTTGCACAGTGGCTGTAGCTACTCTAAGTCATGAGCAAATGATAGATCTCTTACGAACTTCTGTTACTGTGAAGGTTGTCATTATTCCGCCTCATGAAGATTGTACCCCACGAAGGTATGAAGGGGGGAGCAATGGATGTGTTAGTATCTGTTACTGACCTCATTCATCATACCATACAGATGCACTGCAAGCACTTCAAACCAATGGCAATCTATCTATTAAACTTAATTTCCAGTTCAGAGACATGTAATGCCTATCTTACATTCTGAAAGCTCTTATTAGAGCACTCTTATTATTATTTTCTTTATACCCCACCTTTCTCCCCATGGGAACTCAAGAAGGTTAAGAGCCACATAGTCTGGTCACAGTTTAAAACAAAGCAAATAAAAAATTTAAATAATACTGTGTGGATTTAGGTTAAAATGTAATAAATACAGCTAAAATTACATTTAACACTCACAATTCCTCCAGAATCCCCCCACAACCTCTCCAGCAGCATGCTAGGATATCTGGTTAACTGAGTTAGTCCACTTTATATAAAAAGGTAATTTTCATTTACATTAATTTGGACAAAAGGGGTTGCTGTGCCTCTTTAGACTAGGGTATTAATATATCTATCAGGATCACATGAGAGTAGTACTGTGTCACATCACTGATGACTCAACCTGTTTCACCAGATTGCTTTTACTTTGTCAAAAATCCATTTAGTTTACATACTCCTCAAGTGAATGGAATAACGAGATAAAAAGAGAGTTCCTTTTGTTAATTACCATATTTTCAGTTTCTCTCTAAAAGCAGAGTGTTACATAGGCTGCAGTTCTGTACTCAAGTGTTTTGGAAGTAAGGTAAACTGTATAATAGGTCATAATGTTTATGTAAATATGTATAGCATTATCCATTTTGGCTTTGGTCCAGAGAGGTTGCATTGAAAACAGAAAAGCTTATTTTGTTTACAGAAAAACCTTCAATCCATTGTAGCCCTCCTGCTACATGTGGAAAGAAAAATCAGTTCCCCACTTATTTCCTTTATATATTTGTTTCAAATTATTTTATGGGTCAAATTGTCTCAAGGTCCACATTGGCAGAAAAACCTGATGCAATTTTCCTTTAGCACTTCCTGTATTCTAAAAAAATCTTTCTCAAAAAATCAGCCTCCAGAACAAATTTTCTAAGATTTTCACAAAAGGATTTCCAATACACATCTCTCCACCTGTGAGATTATCCTGTAAATGGAGTTTGGCTTACAGGATATTTTTTAAAATTGGCTTATAATACAATCCTTAGCATGTGTTCTCAAACATGCGTTGATTTAATTAGTTTTTGTGGTGGAAAATGTAGACTTTTAAAGATCAGGAATGCAATTTATACATAACCCAGATTACTATTTCAGAAATAATAAATTAGCATATAAACTCAAACTATGTTTTGAGAAAGTTTAAGAAATTGTATGATTCACCAGCTTTGTTCATATACAGAAGTAGTGAGAGTATGGTGCAGTATGAAAAACTTTCCTTCTAGAGTTCCCTTACCTTCCTTTCTTATTTTTCAGAAGTTTTTCAGAAACTCATCGCCTCCCAGTGATGGAATACAAAATGAATGATGGTGGACTTCCATATGAGCTCAAGTTCCCTTTCAGAAATAACAACAAATGGCAGCGAAATGCTAATAAGGGACAGGGGTCACATGGACAACAAATGCCATCACAGATGCAAAGTCCAGTTCCCACAAGGATTGCCTCGGGGAAAGGTGAAGGGAAAATGTCTCTTCCAGAACGGACAGCCAACATTCCACGCAGTATTTCTAGCGATGGGCGTCCTCTGGAGAGTAGAAGGTAAGTGTTTGTAGTTTTTTCTCCTAGCAAAAATCACCGTTTTGAAACTAATTCATAAATTAATTTAACTGTTAAAGTAACAGTGATAACATATAGCACAAAACAGAAACACACTTTCCTTCAGAAAACCATCCTTCCAAAATGATTTTTGTCATTTTGAAAAATATTGAAAAACTAAAATAAATCATTCTAAACCAGTTGCCAGCAGTTATATGTATACTGACTTCTCCCCCCACTGCTATTTAAGGTGCCAGTTCAAGCCATGTCATATCAGTTTTGCAACATGCAGAAGTCTATAATTTCTGGTAATTTTTTTCTATAACAATATCAAAGACTGGGGAGCAGAAATTCAAGAATGACCTAAAACCCATCTTTGTTACTTGTGATCGCTTTGCCACAGCATTCTGAAACTTTCCTCTGATTGCTTTTGAATGTATTGAAATTAGTAGTGTATGTTGGCCTTTCTTTAAGATTTTCTTATGTTAAGTATTGTTTTGGGGAGTAGGAATTCTTAACATACATAAGCAAAGCAGCCAGGTGGAAAGAAGGATTACATACAAAGTCAGTATGAGATCTAAATCTGATCAAATGAAGTAGTTCCAGGTCATTCTTGCTTTTATTTCCTTAGGTTCTCTGCCTACTTTTCAAAGAAAATATATTTCCTTACAGTGAGCTGATTGTGGTCCAGTAAAGCTGTTGGTGAAATATAAGATTGCAGCCAACTTTAGGTATCTATGTATTGTAGTGGAGCATGAGTGGAGAAGAACTAACTCATGGACACTATGTGGTCTACAAGACTGTTTTCAGAGTCTCCACTACCTCCTACACACCCCTTTCGGGAAAGTATATCACTGAAAATATTGCACCTCCATTTTGTGAAGCCAAAGTCAATTCTATAACAGTCTGATTTTGTTGTAATTAGAACCAAGATCCATGTATTTCCTTTTATGTTTTCCTATATACAAAAAGGCGCACTTATTGCTATTTCAGACTATATCAGATGCAGCCAATCTTTGTCTAAAAGTCTGGAGCTTATTTGACAGAGATATAAACAAGGTGGTGCATTCTCAACTGTCATATGTTCTGCCCCAAATTCCAGCAAAACCTGGATTCATTTTGGTGCCATAAGATGTTTTTGCCATCTCTTCCTCTAAAAAGGCTAGATTTTATAGCTGAAACTAATCACTGAAATAAAAAAAGTCAGTTAATCCATTCAGCAGTAAACACTTTTCATTGTCATTTTGGTTCATTTCTTATAGGCTAATGTGTCATCAGGAATATATCTTTGCCACTACTTCTTCCATATGTGCTAGAATTAGTACAGGTTCATTATTAGTTATAGTTTGCTGACTGTCTATTTGTAATTTAAGATCTTGTTATAAATGGCATCCTTGATAAAAAGACAAAGATTGAAACATGCTTTGTTCACAAGGCTTGCAATCCCAATCAGATTTACCTGGGAATAACCGCTAATAAAGCTTGGTTTTATCTGATGATGACTTTGTTGTAGTAGTAGATCCTTCTGCACTGAGGCATCTAAATACAGCTTGGGTATCATTTATCTGAAATGTTTCTACTGTTATTAACAGAATGTCATGGAGGTCTTTCATTCCTAGATTGGACATAAGTAAAAACCAACTTTGACAGCACGTGAAAACAACAGAAGGATTTAGAAAACTAAAATAAGATATGCAAGAAAGAAGCAGGCTATTGTATTTGAACATCTCATGAGATGTCATGATTCACATTAAAAGACAATGCTGATAGGTAAATGTGAGGAGGAAAAGAGGAAGATCACATTAAAGGTGAATTGATTCAGTCAAGGAAGCCACAAGCTTAAGTTTGCAGAGCTCAACTAGAACTTCTGATGATTGACCGCAAGTTCTCTTATTAATAGAGTTGTCATAAGTTACAGCCCGGTTGATGTCAAATAACAACAAAACAGTCAAGAAAGGGGAGGACCAGTGTTGTTTTCCTGGTTGAATGTTTCCATCCTTATTAGTTAATTTAAGTCTCACTGCTTCCCACAAAAGCACATTTAGGATTAAGTGGAGGAGGAGCAGTGCTTTTGGAAGTCAAATAGGCAGCAAAAAAGGAGGCCGGGGCGAGCCAGTGTATTTCGCATGTGGAATGGGTGCAATCCTACTATTGGATTTTTTTCCCCTATTGCATCTGCACTATATGATAATGCAAGACTGTTTCTCTATCCCACATGTTTATGTTCCTTATTAATATAAATATGGCTTGGATTCCTTTCCCTGGAGTTATCCACTCTGTTTAGGTAATTTATTGCTTTCTATTTGTGACGCAGTTTAATCTAGATTGCATGTCTGAATAGAAGAGACATGCAAGCGCTTCCCATGGGAGCTGTAAAGACACTCACTCACCAGCAACCTCCATTGTAGCAACCACCTCCTTCGGAACCATAGCTGTATGTCACTGGTTTGATTTATCAGAAATAACATTAACTCTCTAGAAGCTGAGTCTAGTTCTGCCTCTGACCTTTAAGAGCTGAAGCAGGTGAACTTACTTCAAGACCCCAGTAAGCAGAGCCCAAGTATAGTTCAGCCCCTACTGATGCTGATGAACAATCAGAGGGTGATATGGAGATAGAGAAAGAGGCTGTTTTAAGTTCCAGCAGTCTCGTCTCAGTTGGTTAAGGCCTTCGAAGCAGATTCACTTGGCGAGTGCAAAATCTGAACAGCCATCCCAGATAAACTCAAAACCTAACTATACAGCATCTCTTTTCATAAGTCTTAGGTACTTATGCTACCATCTATAGATTTTACCAGGTTGTGTGTCTTTATTTAATGATATATAACAATTTTAATGCTATAGGAAAAATTGTTACGTAACACTTATCTGACCTATAACAATTTTACTACAAAGAATGAACTCCGTAAATTGCAGATTTACTTACAGAATCTTTCAGGCTGTTTATTGTGGGGTGCTGACATAGCTGTGCACCAGATTCTTGGTATCATGATCACAGGCAATGATATCCTCTTCTATTGACAGCTATACCAATTTATTTATCTGGTTACTACTTTTTATATTGGTGTTTTGGTTTATTGAGATTGTACTTGTGGTAACATTTCTTACATAGATTATTGGACAGAAGGGTGAAGAGGCATAGATATGAGGCCTTTGGAAGTTAGCCTTTCTGAGTAGATGGTCTAGGAGAAGCCTTGTACATGAGCTCTCTTCGAAAAAATTGTAGTGTTGCAGAGTTGATGGCAGTGAGTTTGCATGCACATACTGTTACCTGATGCTAAAATGGCCTTTGCTGGCAAATAGATGTACGCTTTCAGTGAAATCTGCTTTTCATGTGTGGGTGTACCTTTTAAGGGACAAATAGAATAAAGAGCCTATGAATCATTGTTCATAAAAGAAACAATGATGCCATGACACATTGTCTTTTACATCTTCTGATCTGTTAGCAGAATGATGCAGTAACATATTGATCATATTTTGTGTGATACATTATAAAAAGAAGATGATCGCATATCTTGTTGTGAGAGTCAGCTTTTCCAAGTTTTGTGTACAAGCATTTTTGCACTTTTCTTGGCAAAACTTAATTGTTTTCAGAAAGTGTTAGTTTGAATGACTGAAGATGATCATTTATGCTGAATACCTAGCCTTTGTGGGCTGGGCAGTGATACAGAAATACTATATAATACATATATTAGTTCCCATTCTCATGTATCTTGTTTTATTGGCACTTTTAGCATCGCCTTGTGAACTCTGTAATTATCATCATAATAATGACAACAGATTGTTACTTTTTTCAACTAGAGTAAAAAATAAATTTTCTTACATTTTAAAGAACAAATGGAGAATACCTCGAGCCAGAGATGGTGAGGTTATAGAGGACAAAGTAGACAAGTCTGCAGACTGGTGTATTACTTCAGATAATAAGAAAATGCACTTCTTATTGAACTAAAGATAGTATTAGAATGTATTTTTATCACAAAAATGAAAATTACGAATAATTTGATGTAAAATAAATATGGATAGAACTGTAGGAGAATATATATATAACAAACGCAAATATTAATCTACAGGACATTGTTATAGAAGAGCTTGCCTTCTATCAAAAATTCCAAGTGAATTTGTATTTATGATTTCTTTCATAATACTTTAAAATGATACAAATTCACAACAAAAGAGTTGCCTTTTATTGCAGATAGAAGACTTATGGGAACAGGATAGTTCTTCAGTTTGGTTCTGTTGATTCAATGGATTCATTCTGGTCAGGGCTAATTACTAAACTTTTTAGCCACATATTTTTTTTACACATTTAATGTTCACAATTTTAAGTTATTTAAATTTCGACATGGACATCAGTATGTTGATGCATGATGTGTCAGCAACTCCATGAGAATTGATAAATTGAATGCAAACTACAAAGCAGAGATCAAGTAGGGTTTTAAAAGTTGTCAAAATAGTTCACAAGTACAGATATGAATGATAAAAGCTCATTAATTATGTCACTGTCTAGCAGCATCAACTAGCTTTATGATTTCGCTTGCCACTGTAGCTATACACACACCAGGTCCAATGCTTGGAAAGTGATACAGTAGTTACAGGGCAACACTTTTGAGATAGCTTTGGGGATCTCCATCTTTATCTAGTTCAGTCATTCTCAACCTGTGGGTCCCCAGTTGTTTTGGCCTACAACTCCCAGAAATCCCAGCCAGTGTACCAGCTGTTAGGATTTCTGGAAGTTGATGGCCAAAACATCAGGCTGAGAACCACTGATCTAGCTGATGTCCAAGGCTTTCCAGATAACTGTACGATCCATCCACTAACCAGATGGTATCTCTTCTTCCTGTTTTTGGTAGTTCTGGGCACTTCGGATTCATATAAATGTGGAGAAAGATGAAAAACTCACAAAACTTAGAGATAGTGTGAGACAAAAATACCCCCACCTCACCCCTGCAAAAAGATCTAGCAAGGGGTAAAAGCGTTTATCTGAACAGCAAAAAATATCCTTTTTTCAACTGGGGAAAATATAATCACAATGAACAAGAAATGTAATCATAATGAACCTTTACCAAAACCCATTATGATATGGGAGAAGGTCACAGCTTCATAAATATTAACATTGCATTTCTTGTGAGTTGTGTGTGGCAATGTATATGTATATGTCAATTTCACTGAAAAGCAATTACTTGCCTAGCTCTTCAGGGAGTGGCAAAAGGGATATGAAAAGGCTACTGGCATTGTTAATCTGCCTGGACCATCTTCCCAGATTTCAAGTTCTTACATTTTTGGGATGTTTTCATTGAAGCAAATATTTTAAGATGTTTGTCTTTCCAGGGAAATCGAATAGTTTGCAAATTAAATGCGGTGGACTAAAGAAAAAGCATAGTGCATGACAGTGTGTCTCTAAGGAATATCATATAAATCTGTCTTTCAGGGATATTTTTCAGTGAAAATATTAATGACTTCTGAAGTTTGCAGTGTTTAGAAATACATGTCCACTTCTTGCTTCTTGTCCTTTTTTGCAAGCTAGTTACTAAAGGTGCCCAAGGGAGGCAGCATATGCACTTGAAATGACCAGAGGGTTTTCTTTGAGTATAGTTAAAAGCAAAAACATGTATACCACTCTTCTTCTGCTAAGGAGGTTACCACTATGGTTCACAGTGATAAAAAAAACAATGTTTTTTTATTGTTTTCAGAATCTGATATAGTTAACTCAAGAAGGTGCATTGAGTTCGGGGGGTTGTCATCCCATCAGTACTCATTGTGTGAAGAGGCCATTTGGAGCAAAATGAGTTGTGTATTGTGTCTTGGAGGTGTTGTGTATGAAATAGACTTGTACTGTGCATAGGTGCATACATACATATTATACTTCTTGTTTTCTCGCTATCCAGTTAATCTAAAATGCCAGTATTTCATTTCACAAACTGTAGAGTTTCACAGACTGTACTGCATATCAATAAATTGTTAAAAGTGTATACTCAAGCTTCTGCTGAAATGGATGGATAAATTACTTCTTTATTTTGAATATGGATGGAATATGCTTTGTGTTAATATTCTTTCCTTGCAAATAGCAAAAGCAATTCAGCAAGTTTATTTCTGGAAGTCCTTGGAAGCAGTCATTTCTCCCTTTTACTTCCCCCTCCCCCATCTTTTGCCACTGTTCCAAAGGGAGTAGATTAATAAAGGAAAATACATCTTGCCCTCCAGCTGGCTTCATTTTTTACTGCCTTAGTGAATTGACACTGCTGATGTGGCAGTTCCTATAATAGTGTTGTTGCTTTATTGAGCTTTGCGTTGTGGTACTTCCCTTAATAATGTAGAATTCGTGTTGTTTGTATTGAACAGATTATCTCCTGGGTCTGATGTCTACGTCACCGTCTCATCAATTGCCTTAGCAAGATCACAACAGTGCCGTAATTCCCCCAGCAACTTGTCATGCTCCAGCGAAACTGGGTCTGGTGGAGGCACCTATAGGCAAAAATCTATGCCTGAAGGGTAGGTTCTCATGTATTTATTTCCTCACACTTCTTTTTTTTCTTTTTCCTTTGCTGCTTTCATTTGGGTCACTGGTACTTGCTTCATTCTCACACCAAATACTCTTAGCTGTACTGTTTTCTTTCATCTCAAAAAAAAATATTCTGGCAACTTGTAGCCCAGTTTTGTCTTCTATTTTAATATAAGCAGTTTCTTGTGTGGCTTGCTTCTCCTGAAAATGCATGGTGTTAACACATCTACATTTAGCAAGGACTTAATGCTGCCCTCAATGCCACCTGAACTCTGAAAGTAATTCATACCTCTTTTTATTGCTGGTGCACTCAAAGGCTCTGATGATCCTCAAAGTACAGTTCTACAGAAAAGGAACCTTACATTCCCACCATATCTGCTGTACTTGGCAAAGTTTTGAGTGGCATATCTGTGTTCTTTTCATCTGCAGTCCACTTTTGGACTCCATACCTACACAGAGCAACTCTGGAACTTTCTAGACTGATCAACCCTAACACCAACCTTACAAAAAGCAAAAATCCCATTATTTTCTGTGCATAATTAGGGGCATTCTTTATTTCTTTACTTACTTACTTTATTTTTATCCTGCTCTTTTCCCCATAGAGTATCAAGGTGGCTAATAGTGATATTCTCCCATTCCCTTTAAGTTCTTTTGGAACTTTTTTTCCTGTTTCTTAGGTAGAGTAATTCTTTCCTTACCATTTTGATTAACTTGGGTTCACCAATATTAATGAACAAATTCACAATCATCATTGTGTATATTAGTATTGCAACAATAGCCAGATATTAATAGAGGAAGATCTGCCTTGATAGAGACATGCTCTGAGAATGAGTTCTAATGCAAATCTTTCAAATTGCATTGTTAGACCTGTATGCCTGTAATCACTACAAGTTGCTACTATCTTCATTTTCACAGTCATGTCTGGTGTGTATTTCCATTACCCATTACCTCCAACAGGCAGCTGCTCCAAGGCTGCCAGTATACACATATTGGTAATGAGGTCTCTGTCCTGTATACATCCAACAAAAGCAAATAGGTAGTGGTGGGTTGGGAAGGTTTAAATCTCATTGTTGACAGATGCTTACTAATTTGGGAAGAGGCTGCAGAGTCAGCTGTGTAACAAAGCCTTCTCTGTCTTGTGCAGATGGCAGTGTTGTATCCAGGATTATAAGGAGGAATGTTGAGACAATATGCTAGCAAATCACCAAACCCAAACAATTCAAAAAAACAGAGTAATCCTCCCCTCCCACATGGCACATTGGACTCACTTTGCTAGGTGTGAATGGGAGTGGGAGCACATATACTCGCATTTTTCTTCATACAAAGAAATTTTGATGCTGGAACAGGCATGAGCAAACGGGCCTTTCGGGTGTTTTGGACTTCACCTCCCACAATTCCTAACGGCCTGCTGTTAGAAATTGAGGGAGTTGAAATCTTAAACACCTGGAGGGCCAAAGTTTGTCCATGCTTGTGCTAGAAGCTTTAACTTCCCTTCGGGAGAGAGAAAGCAGGGTGGTAATAATAATAATAATAATAATAATAATAACAACAATAACAATAACAACAACAACCAAACAAACAAACTCAGGCATGTCTCTGTCCAATTTGACAGTTTTCTGCTTTTGTGGAATTCTGTAACTTTGGACCTACTAGAGTTTGAACATAATAAAACTAAGATTTCACAACCTGCCAGGAATAGTCTTCCCATAGTAATTCTCCTGGTTTGGATTTGACCAAAAAAGATCTCTGGTTGGCTGACAAGATATATAAGACAGGATCAACTCCCAGAAGATTAACTTGGGTTCTACTTTCTGTTGTGCTTCATACACTCAAGGAAAGATAGCCATCTATACTTGATATTCATGATATCAATATTTTCATTCCTCTACGATGTTTTGCCAACAATCTGCTACTGCTGTCATTATCATTATGTTTATTTATATCCCACCTTTTCTCCCACTATGGGACTCAAAGAAGCTCTAAAGTATTCATGGTTTGCATTTATTAACCCTGAGAAACATATGCACTTCTCCCCACCTTTGGCTCTATTTGAATGCATGCATGGGGCTAACCAGTTTGGATTAAGTGAGATTATCCTGTACAGACAAATAGAAGTAAGCCTTTGCATTGAAATAATGCTGTTATTACAGCTGTACTTTTTGTAAAGATTGTCTCTGCCACAGGAAAAAAAGGAAAACCTAGACCTAATATCAGCAATTCTGGTCACCTGCTAGATAATTACCTAATGCCTGACCTTTGAGGAAAAAATATAGAGTACCCCACCTCTTGATACTCCCAGGAGAGACATTTGATGAGATGAAAAGGTTTATGATGATGATTCCCCATCATATGATGTAGTCAAGAACTGGCATCATCAATTCAAGTGTGGTTGGACTTCAGTGCAAACAGCTCCAATTCCAGGGAGATCCCACTCTGCTGTTGATGAACATACAATCCAGCAAGTGGAGGTCACCATTTTGGAAAATCACCGCGTAACCATTCGCTACCTAGCCCAAAATGTCAAGATTAGTGTGGGGTCTGTGTGGAAAAAAAAATCATCCAAGACCATCTACACATGCATAAGGCATCCACTCACTGGGTCCCTGGTTGCACCCACCTTTCCAGAAGCAGGAATGAGTTGAATGCTCTCAGGCTCTATTGACGATGTGCCATGGACATCAGGAGGACTTTTTCAACAGACTGATCACACAGGATGAAAGCTGGGTCCATCACTATGATCGTGAGACTAAAGTCCAGTCAATGCAATGGAAGCATCATGACTCATCGTCTCCAAAGAACGCATGTGCCCAACTCTCACCAGGCAAGGTCATGCTCATAGTATTTTGGGATCAGTACAGAGTAGTGTTGATGGATTTCCTAGCAAAGGGTACCATGATCACTGGGGCGTACTTCACTTCACTGCTGCGGAAATTGTGGGAGGCCATCAAAATCAAAAGACATGACATGCTCACCAAATGTATCCTCCTTCTGCAAGACAATAAACCAGTTCACAACTCACATGTTGCCCAAATGGAAGCGTGCTCCTGTGGCTTTGACATTCTACCACATCCCCCTTATTCATCCGACCTCGCACCATCGAACTTCCACCTCCTTCCAACAATAAAGTTATTTTTGAAGGACAAGCATTTTTCAGTTAATGAGACTCTGATTTCCGAAGTCACAACGTGGCTTTTGGAGCAACCTGTCGACTTCTACAAGCGAGGTGTTTACAGTTGCTTAAAAAGATGGGAGAAGTGTGTGTCCCTAATGGCACCAATGTAGACTAATAACTGTGCCAAGTTTCATTGCTCTCAGCCCACAGGAAGTGGGTCAGGGGAAATCTTTAATGAACTCCCCTTGTAAGTAGAGTGTTAATGCCAATTCTACTTATTTGGACTTTACTGAGGTTTATGAGTTGCGAAGCCCAGGCAACCATCTAGAGTTAACAAGGACCTCTTAACAGATACAGATTGATTAAGAGATAATGAAGAACCTCGAGATAGAAGTAGGAAACCATGCATGTTCCAACAGCACGTAGTTTAGTTATGGCATTCACTTTTTCAGCTTCTCTAAAAGGAGATCACACATGTTCGTGGAAGTTTACATTTATCACTGGTTATCAAAACCATAAATGCTAGAGGTTATCTCCAGAAATAGATGCAGTGTGTCTCTAAATACCAGATGTTGGTAAGCATCAGTAAGATGGAGAGCTGTTGCCCTCTTCTCACTTGTGTGTTTCCAGTGGGCAGCTGCTTGGCCACAGAGTGTAATGGAGTGCTGTTCTAGATAGGCTTTTGTGTGGTCCAGTAGGACCCTTTTGCTCATAAGCCTGTACAGATGAGTAACCAGGGTATACTGTCTGTGGCAAAAGCATCTGTCTGTGGTCCATAATCATCTTACTTTATATCCGGCTTATGTCTACTTGCCTTCATCCTATCTGAATCTGTGTCTAATGACTAGTGTAGCAATGATCCACAGGGAATTATGTAATTGTTAAAATGAATGATACATTTGATTACAAGCAACAGTTCTGAATGGTTTAAGTCATTGAAATGTAGTGGTTACAATTTGTTTGCGTGTAGCAAATTAGAGTTCAGTTGTTTCATACACGCAGCAATAAAAACAATGAATGTAGCTGTCAAATGACTAAAGCAGGCAGGAGAAATTATTACATGAAAAGCCACTTTAATGACTAAGAATATTAATAACCAGGTATGATCTCCCTCTAATGCCTATTTGTCATGAAAAGACCAAAATTTACAAGATGTGAATGTCATTTATTGCATAACCGTCTTTATTGTATCAAATAATTATGTTCAGTGTTTTAGTATATATCATATAACTTTATGGGCAATTTGAAAATAAAGAAAAGATTTTGGGGCTTTGGTTCTGTGTTTTATTTTCTATTTGTTTTCAGTGGAGGTATTTGGTGTAAACACTTGCTTCTTCATGGTCTCTGTGAAAATCACACTGATGGTACTTTCTGCACTTGCACAGTGTGCTTCAGAATCTTGTAGCAAGCTCTAGAAGTCTTCTGGATACAGCCCTGCCCACCCTCCCTAGGAGGCATATAACCAGTGGAAGGGGCTGAGGCCTCAGTTCCTGTGATCCGCCAATATCACAGCAGCTTCGGTGATCTCGGCAGCTTCTCTTCCCTGTTGGGTTGTTTTTCTCATAGTTAAATTTGACCTCGGCTTGTGTTTTGACTACATTTGTGTCTTCTGGGTTGTTGACTTTTGGATTGTCTTTGACTATGTTGTGTTGTACTAGTGTGTTGACCTTGGACTAGTTGACCGCATTGTATTTCTGGCTTGTTAAATTGGACTGTTTGACCTCCTCTTTCTGTTCACTCAATTGGGATTTACTCTGACTGCCCTCTTTGGAATATTGACTTGGATTGTTTGGCTACTTTTATCTCATGCCCTCCTTGCACTGATGTGGTTGGATTATCTCTAGTGGCTACTCTCAAGTGTAAAACTTGGTTCCTCCTGTGGGGGAAAACTACAGGAGAGGGGGCGAGATAGGTGTCTGCTATATTTCGGGGAAGGGACCTCCGTTCCTCAAGCACACAAATAGGGACAAACCGCAACCCTTGCCTAATCCCTCAAAGAAACGAGAACCCTCTGAGCTTTTGGTAAACTTATTTCAGCTTCAACAGCCAGCTTCCTCTTCCTGGCAAAGAAAAAGAAAATTGGAGACTCCGACCTCCTCCCTGCCAACAGCAGTAAGGGCGATCCTGGATGCAGCACAGAGAGCATCCACCAAACACTCATACCAATACAAATGAAAGAGGTTTACTGCCTTTTCACACCAGAAGTGACTTCCAGTTTCTCAAGTCGCTCCTGACACCAAAAAATATGCCTTCTCAGAGCAGAAAGGGGCAGAACCACTCACTGCCCCTACATCATTCATCTTGGACTTCCTTGCTTCAATTTCAAATGCCAACATGTCTCTCACTTCACTTAAGTGTTATTTGGCTGCTATTTCCTTTTACAGGAAGAGGGTAGGCCTCCCCTTGTGTTTTGCCGATCCTCTGGTGAAACTTTTTCTTCAGGGATACAGGAATCTTAGGCCTCCATTTGTACCACCGGTTTCATCCTGGAGTCTGGAAATAGTTATCTCAGGGTTGGCTAGCCCTCCCCCCCCCCCCCCCGCTTTATTATTTATTTACTTTATTTGTATACCGCACTATCTCAGCCCGTAGGCAACATGCAACTATGGACATGTGTTATGTGTCTTGGGAGACTATTTTTCTCATGGCAATTACGTTGGCACGTAGAGCAAGTGAATTGTGCGTGTTAAAGGTTTCCACAAAAATAAGGTCATCTTGTACACAGACATTGCGTTTCTTCTGAAGGTGGCCTCTGCTTTTCACATGTCTCAAGACATAGTGTTGCCCACTTTCTTTCAGAAGCCAGGTATGGCGTTGGAACGTGCATTGCATCTGCTTGATGTGAGGGGAAGCTCTGGCTTTTTACATTCGGAGAACAGCTGAGCTGAGAAAATCCCCCAGGCTGTTTGTGAAGTACAGGGCAGATTCTAGAGACCTTCCCATCTCTTCTCAGAGACTATCCTCATGGATCATGTTAACCATATGTTTATCATACAAGCTGGCTGGAAAGGACCTACCTTCACAGTCCAAGGATCATTCCACCAGGGCTGTAGCTGCGTCAACTTCCTTCTTAAGGTGCATTCTACCAGAATAGTGTGTTGAGCAGCCATTTGGTCTTCCCCACTTACCTTTGTTACGCTCTACAAACTGGACATTGCTTCCAGGAAAGATGCAGTTTTCAGCAGAACTAACCTTCGGTGGCATGACCCCCACCATCCCAGGCGAGCAGCTTGCTAACCTACTATCAGTGTGATTTTCACAGAGACCACAAAGAAGAAAGAAGGGTTACTTACCTGTAAGCATGTTTCTTTGAGTGGTCATCTGTGAAATTTGCACATCTCCCTGCCCATCCTCCCCGCTTGCATCATGCCTGGTTTCTGTCACTGCTGATTTCAGCAGCACGGGAACTGAGGCCTCTTGGGGAGGGTGGGCAGGGCTGCAGCCAGAATACTTATAGAGCTTGCTAGAAGATTCCAAAGCATGTTGCACAGGCACAGGAAGTACCATCAGTGCAAATTTCACAGATGACCACTCAAAGAAACATGGTTACAGATCAGCAACCCTTCCTTTCCATGTATAAGATTTCATAGGAGTGGGATTCTTTTACACAGGTTTGGAATGAGTCGAAGATCCCCTGCCTCCATTGACAGACAGAACACGGATACCAGTGGAAGCGGCAAATCTACTCCAAGTTGGCAGAGAAGTGAAGACAGTATTCTTGACCAAATGGGTAAGTAAATATTTGCTTCAGAAATTAAATGGCATCACAATATGACACTGGGAGCCCATTCCCTTATTATAATAACCTCTTACAATATCCAACTTCTTACGGTATGTTGTTCCTTTGTTGTTATCTAATGAAATCCACAGAAAAAAATAGGAACATGTCTTAAGATGCTCAAAAGATCTTTTATTGCTTTAAAAAAAAGCCCAACACATTTCAGTTTGTTTACTCTTCAAGCCTTCTTTCAGGGTTATATTCAATCTAACATCAAAGATCTGGACGAAGAAGTCTCAAAACACTTACTGCAATGACTTTTTTACCAAAATAATAATAATAATAATAATAATAATAATAATAATAATAATAGATCAGTCCATGAAATCGGTTTTTAAGACACTGTTGAAGAAAATGCAGTTACTACCTAGTGTTGCTGATTGATTGTCCTTGACTCCATTCAGTGCTGCATCAGCTTAATTTAATTTTCACTTTGTTTATGGCTCCCTTTGCGATATTTAGTTTCTAGTAGTATGATACAATCAAACTAATTGTTTCATCATTGAAGGTGTAAAAACCTTAAGAGTGTAAACAAAATATGTGTAAACAAATCTATAGTTGCTTGAGAATCACTTTCCACCTATGAGGGTTTTTTTCAGTGCACTTTGCCATTAAGTTCTTAACTGAGAGAGACATGCTTAACAATGCAAATCTTTGGCATTCAATTGTGATTTTGATTGTTAAGTCCTCATTTGGATTTTCAGCACATAGACCTCTTCGTCTATGTGCTGAAGCAGTGACCTAACACGGGTAGGTCCCACTGAAGCGTTGTTAAGAATTTTATGCAGTGGTGATGCCGATGCAGAATGACTAGCTTTAATCAAGGATGGCACCTTTGGTATCTGTTGGGCCTGGGAGGTCCACTGCAGTATCATCAAGTCTCATGTTAAATGGTCTCATAATAGCCTGTACCATACAGTGGGGGTATAGACAAAGGAACAACAGAGGGAGATTTTTGGTCTGGATGTTTTAGAAACAAAGCCAAAGGAATTTTGATACAGAAGCCAAATTTTCAAAATAAATGGCAGAAAGCGGACTCACTTTCTATGTAGAACTTAGAAGATCAGATACCAATAATGAGTTAGCTTCCATGAAAGGCAAAACATACTTTGTGATTTTCTGGGGTAATTATGGGTTGGAAGCTTCTTCCTGTCAAGTATCAATAATTCCCAGCTAAAGTTGTAATGGGAGGGATGAGGTTGTTGATGGTTCTGTCCTCCTGTGTTGGTTGAATGTTAGAAATGTTTTTTAAGGGGAAGATACTCAGCTCTTACTGTTTTTCTTGTCATCACAATATATGGTGATTGTATAGATATAAAGATTGAAGTATTCAGCATATGTTTCTGGAGTTGTGGAAAAGAAATACAATTCTGAGATTCCAAAGATATAAAGATATACTTTTCTTCTAACCATTTCAGAGACCCAGTGAGTGGTGTCCTAGTATTAAAGCCATCTGTTGATTTCCCCATCCCCCATATCTGCTTCAAAGGAAAAACCTGTGATTATACTGATTTCTAGTTTCCATTCTGGCGAAATACTTTAATCACATATGTTTTCATACTGTCGAGATGGTAACGGCACGTGTACATTTAATCTTTTTCAGAATTACTTTTGCAGATCCTCTGTTGTGTGTTGATCCTGGCAGTTAACATAGCTGCTTTTACGTTGTGAAAGTAAAGTGCTGTAATTCCAACTTAGAGAAAATGGAAACAGTTGGGGGAAAAAGTTGTGGTTTGGGTAGAAAGTTCATACAGTATTACCTGTCAGCCTCACTTTCAATAGTTTCCTGCTTTAATGCAGTTAAAAGTTTTACTTCACATTCATAACAAATTACATTACCAACTGTAGTAATTATGGATTGTGTCCAGTTGGTATGCCTCCATTGACAGAAGGCTCTTTGATGCAGTGGACACTTACTTTTCTAGAATCGGGAGAAATGGAATTTCTGCTACTTCTTTTATTCCCTGTAGTCTTTCCCTGTCCATCCCCCACCCGGCCACACATTTGGTCTGATCAAATGAGAGACCCATCAGAAAACAATAGAAGGAAAAACAGGAGGGAGATGGAAAATTACCAGAGATCACCTCCCTTCATATCACACTGACAGAACTGGATCAAATTGCATGTTGTCTGCAGAAGGACACCAATTAGATACAATCCTATGCAGTTAAAACTAATTAAAATTCTTCAGTTTATAAAAAGCAGTAATGTAGGTCAGCAACATTAGTGAAAGAATGTCATATTCTGCTTTTGGTTCTCAGCAGACCTACAGCAGTATCTCAAGTTTCTTTTAATGCTGAGCAGTGGATAAAGTGAGCTTCCTGAAGGCAAATGTATTCCATGCTATATTGCAGAACCAACTTGCCATCTCCCTGCAATGTCAAAGGTGCTGCCATCCTTCAGAGAGAGCCCCACTGGAAGATTGATGAGGCAGGATCCAGTAGTTCACTTGTCTCCAAATAAGCAGGGCCATGTAAGTTTTCTTTCAAAACTGCTATTTAAAGAACTTTGCTCTTTCAGCAGTTCTTCAAAAGGTAAGATATCCTTTAGAAGCCTGTACTCTTCTGAACTGTACTTCCTTGTTAAAGTATGGAGGCGGCAGCAATAGAGCTGCTCTCGGTGGTTTAAGGCTAATTGCAACTTTAACATTAATAGAAACATTTTTTGTCAATTCAGAAGCAAAGCTTTGCTACAAAGCACTGTGTGATAGGCTAAGGATTTGTGGGAACCTTGATTGTTCCAGAAATAAGAGTGTTGTTCAAATTATTCTACCCACTGCTATATTCCACATGCAAAATATCAGTGACTTACTACCATTTTCTACAGCAAAAAGTTGAATGATCTGATGCAGTTAGTCCCAATACATTAATTTTAATATTTCTGTTTTTATAGGCTAAGTCTTAACCCCTTATGGGGTTTAAGTGTAGATTTTGCTGGTTTGCTCACAGTCTTGAAAAGAAAACTTTTTAGCGATATTCAAATATTGAAGGAAAAAACTAGCATTTTATTCACAAGGGGAAAGTTACTGACATGATCCCAAAGTAATATGCCTTTAAATGGTCTGCATTTTTAAATTCCAATTGGCTTTTAGTCCCAATTTTGGGGGGAAATCAGGATGCTGATAATATGATCTAAACATTTTGCACAAGGCAACTGTTTTTCAGGATGTATTGCATATTTCCATACATTGTAGATTCCTATGCACTATGTTGCTGCTTGCTGAATTAATTCATTAATCATTTGCTTTAACTGACATACCATTCTACATTGTTGATTTGGATGTGAATGGCTGTTGCAAGCTAATTGGCACGCATAACATGGGTGTGCAGTGGCACCTTTTTCTAGAGGAATTTCTAGAGATCTGTTGGAGCTGGTTACTATGCACTCCATTAAAACTTGGAGGATGACCATTGTATGTAGACATTCTAGAACAGTGGTTCTCAACCTAGGGTCCCCAGATGTTTTTGGCCCACAACTCCCAGAAATCCCAGCCAGTTTACTAGCAGTGAGGATTTCTGGGAGTTGAAGGCCAAAAACATCTGGGGACCCCAGGTTGAGAACCACTGTTATGGAATATCTCACATATCTGCATTCTCTTTTCACATCCTTGTGATTCATTTCACTTCGCTTAGCTTTCAGTAATGGTTTTTACATCTGTAAGTATATTATGAATTGTGACAAATGTTTCTGCCGTGATGTTCTAAAATTAGTATTTGTTTCATGATAAATTTAGAATGGGTATATTGAAAACCAGTTAATGGAAAATTATAGTGGAACTGTGTCTTCGTTTATAAAATACATGGATGGTTATGGCAGATTACTAAATATGTAACATAAGTCTTGAGCTGAGTATTTATGCATCTTGTCTTAATTTTATGTACAGTAATATGTGCACCTATGCTCATCATTAATGAATAGTTTCTTTCCCTTCCAGCCTTAAATTTAATGCAGAATCTGTTTTTTTTATATATATAGTCTGATAGCCACTACTCCAGCCATTCAAGCAGTAATACACTGTCCAGCAATGCATCTAGCATCCATAGTGATGAGAAGTGGTATGAGAGCGGAGACAGGACAGAGTCAGAGATGAATAGCTATAATTATCTTCAAGGCACGTCTGCTGACAGTGGCATCGATACCACCTCCTATGGACCCAACCATGGATGTACAGTCTCCTTGGGCAACTCAGCAACATCTCCCCGATCAGGACTTATGAAAGAGAAAGTGTCCCCATTGTGGCACAGTTCCAGTGAAGTAGTCTGCCTTGCAGACCGGACTTTAGAAAAAGAGAGTCACATGATGGACAGAAAGACAGAATCTTCATTAAGCTTGGACATTCATAGCAAAAGTCAACCAGCTTCTAACCCTTTAACAAGAGAGAACAGTGCTTATAGCCTTAGCGATGCTGTTTCCCATGCAAGGTAATTTTCTTTAAAATCATACTTGATGCCTCTTCCTATATCTTTCTAGCAGATGTGAGGAGTGGGTGTTATGGAAAATAACATCCTCGTGTTTCTTGGCAGTCCTTCACTTTGAATAGCAGAGAATTTGAAAATGGAAGATTAGTTTGATATTTTCTTTTGTGGCTGAGAAACTGTTGTGGGAGAGCTGAAAGCAGATAGATCTAGGCAGTCCCTAAGTTACAAATGACTCATAATTAGCAACGACAATCATTGCAGGGACAGAAAGTGAGGTGAAATCTTCTGAAGAGGGGCACACACATCAAAACAATCACCACAGGGGTGATTAGATAGATAGGCAGGCAGGCAAGGTGGAGTTACACTTAAAAATGTACCTGTTCCAAATTCAACTTAAGAACCGACCTACAGAACCTATCTCATTTGTTACTTGTGGACTGCCTATACTAGGTTCTTCCCACAACAGTGCACACATCTTATATATGTGTAAGGCAGTGCAGACATGGCATTCTTGATCTTTTAGACATGTTTTAAGGAGTTTTGAATAGACTACAGAATTCTATCTTCTCTTTACTCTCTGGTGCAATTTTCCCCATTCTCCCTCCCATTCAGTAGGATGCTGCATCTAGACATGAAACCTAAACAGGTGAGATCTATGGGGTGCTAGAATTTTATTCAATAAAAGAACACTTTGTGTCTAGGCTTACATTGTACAAAAGCTAATCACACAATAATTTTTCCATTCTGAATGTCTTAAAAAGTGCTGGCCCCTTTACTCTGACTTATTCCATAGCTTCTCTTACATTTGATATGCAGCAGTGTAAGGTTGTTTTTTAGATTATTTACCTTTGTGATAATATTTTTTCATTTATCTCATGGAAAACAGTGTTATGGTGGCTGTGACACTGATTTTATGTGTTTCATTCCCAAAATTCTATACACAGAAGATAAAGATGATATTAAGAATAAGATTTTTCACTGGTACAAAAACAGGTATTCAGCATGTTCTTGAGCTTGTTTGGATTTGAAAAATTCATGCTACTATATATTACACATGCACAAGGAATTAGTATTTTGCTCGAGTAACACAATGAAGTGGTAGAATTCAAAGAAATAGCCATGTTAGTTTGCAAAGGGATCTTATAGCACCTTTGAGACTGAGCAAGATTAAGTTGTTGGATAAGTTTTCATAGGCAGCCTACTTCCATGCATTGAGGAAGTAGAACTGTCCAGAGAAGCCACAATGTCTATACTAAGTTGTACTTTGGACGTATCATGAGAAGACATGACTCACTAGGAAAACAACAAGAACAACATTTGGTAAGGCTTGTAGACAGTAGGGAAAGATAGAGATGCATTACAGATGAATATACAACATCCCTGAGTCTGCATCATTTGAGCAGGGCTGTTGAGGATTGAGTGACTTGGGCATCTCTCATTCATAGGGTAACCATAAGTCTAAATTGGCTTGACAATTAACAAAGGTATGCATTGGCACATATGACTAGCAGAAGTCGCAAAAAGATGAAATAAACAAAAGAAGACAAACCAAAAGCATAGTCAGGACTGAAGGAAAAAAATAATGACCATAAAACATTTATATCATATTAAACAAGGCAATGAAGAAAAATTAACATTATTCTATATTTTGGTTCCATATTTATCAAAATAGAGAATGTAGTGATGTAGTGAGAAGACTTGGAAGGGCTACTATGAAGAAACTAGATAAGATTCTCCAGTCTGAAGATACATCACTAAATACCAAAATCAGAATTATCCATGCCACAGTATTTCCATTTTCAATGTATGGACACTTTCAATGTATTAGACATCTGACAAGCTTATGCGGAGAAATCAATTCATTTGAAATGTGGAGACAGGGGATGGTCAAAAAGATGCATAAAACAGCCTGTGAGCAAATCAAGCTTAAACTTGAACACTGGCCTTCTGATAGGTGTCTTTCCTATCAGAAGACCAATTGGGTCAAGATGCAGCCTTTGGTTTTAAATTACTTTAGGGGAAAGAAAACCAATTAATTTTTGGACATTAAAGATATTAACTCAGATTATTTTAGAACCAGGCACTGAGCAGGACAGCTGTTCATCACTATCCTAGCTTGTCAGATGTGCTCTTTATGTCTAATTTCTTCCAAAAACACAAGATATAACATGTTTCCTATGGCTTTTTCTTTCTGTAAATTTCTATTTAATCAGAGCAAAATCCTTTCCAGGGCACCAACTTTCACAGATAATAGAAAAGTATATGAACGTGGAATATATTTATAAATACAGAGGGTAGGGAAGTAAGAAGCCTTAGATAGGTCTGCATGGTCATCTTTGAATACCACAGTTGAACAAACTTTGAATTACATAGCTCAGAGCTTTCCTTTGATTAGAAGTCCACTTAAACTTGTGTGGCAGTGGATGTATTACAAACAGGCAAGATCACTCAGTTCTCCCTGAGTATCCAGGGTTGGGTTTTGTGCCTACTGAGGAGTTAATGAAAGAGGGTGTTGTGGTTCCAGGTCTTGCGAGATGGTTAACATGGTGGCAGCTGCATGAATGAGTGCAGAAGATAATCCAGCCTGATATTAACAACAGGAAGCATGGGAAGGAAGCTGGAGCATCCATTGCATTCATTCCTGTGGCTGCTACCATGCTAACCACCTCGCAAAGTCAGAGGAAGGATTTAGCCAGGCAGGCTATGAGGACTGGGAGTGAAAGGAAGCGGCAATAAGTCAGTTGGTCTTTCAAAATGCAGGTGAATTAAGTGCCAAGAAAAAAAAGGTATCGAAGCCCTTGCAAGCCTCCTTGTAGTTCTCATGACAGAGGTCTGCAGGATTCAGTAAGAACCAGTCAGTCCTCTTTGAATTGAGACAGTTTCCTGTAAGGACATCTACATTTTGCCCATCACTGGTAACAGACACCTTTCAATGTGTGGGTGGACAGGACTGAAGAAAGGCTACATATCAATTTCAACCAAAAGCTTCAAAATTTCCTCCTTTTCACAATATCAGGTCTGCAGAGAAGCACTCTCTGACACTTCAGGCAATAGAACACCTGCTTCAGATAAGGGGCATGGAGCCTGTTACCTCTCAGGAGAGATTTTTGAGCTCTCACTCTCTGTTCCTCTTGATTCAAATGAAAAACGAAGTGTGGAGGGTTGTTCTGAATCTTCACAAGGCCAACCAGAAGTTCCATGGTAACCTTCTGATCATTTCTGGAAGGGATGCAGAATTTTTTAAGAGGGTGGCCTTACTTTGATCAGGAACAGTTTATCAGTTCCATTCATGGAGATTGCATGCGATTCTGGGTCTTAATAGTGAATTGGAATTCTCTATTTGCAAGAGTCTGTTGAGTTGAGTCTGTCGGCATGAGAGGAATTGCATATATGTCACAAGAATTTGGTTTTACTTAGGTTGGATCCTCCTTTTCATTAACATGAATTCACTGTTCATAATTTTGAGATTATTATTCTACCTTCTTTTTGTCTGGATCTCAAGGCACCACGGGAGAAAGTGGCACAGGTTAGATATGCAGAGGGCTCTTAATTTTTACTTTGATAGGATTCAGTAGGACAAAGGAGTTTTGTAAAATTAATTGTTTCCTTTTAATAAAGACATATCTTCTTCCACTTTGGCTCAGTGGTTGAGGTTTTGTTTTCAAACGCATAGTGCAGTGCCAGTTGTAGAAGGGATTCAGGTACAACCCATTCATACTGCTAGCTTTTGATACATCTCCTTCTCTTTTGGAAATCTATTGGGCAAGCCACTTGGGCTTTCCTGTCTTCTTTTGTTAGATGCTATTGACTACACAAGTTTGCTTCCATGAATGTGTCCTTTGGCAGTTGTGCAACAGGTTGTGCCATTGTAATTGAAGAGTTGCCCTCCCAAATGATGAGGGTCTAGGTCCCAGCTTGAAGAATTGACTCCTCACACTGCAGAAAAATGGTAATCACCATGAAGGTTCATTTTCTGCAGGCGTGGAGAAGGATTGTTTCCCACTCTATTTGGTGGAGGTTTGTTTTGACTTTTGGTGGTCTGTTTTTTGGTGTCTGGAATTTTGTCATGCCATCACTGGGAGGGTGAGATTTGCCTTCTCTCTTAGGGTTATTAGGTTGGTTGACAAGTTGACGCCCTTCCTGTGAAGCATGAGGGAGGAACCAGACCCATCTTGATGGATTCCCTCCCTGTAACTGCAGAAAAATAAGTGCTACAATGGGTACCAGCATTCCATTCCATGAATTTGATATTTAGACACATAAATAGCCTTTCCATTAATCTATTCTTTGGGGTGGGGTAGGGTGAGATGGGGGAGCAAAATTAATACTCCTCTGCAACATAATTTCCATGTCATTTATTTATGGATATTGGGATGGGGTGGGGTGGGGTGGGGTGGGATTGTGGGTACAGACCAGCCATTTATACAAAGTGTTCTTTAATATATACATTTAATGTCTATGTCTATTCATATGCTATCCATAAATATTAATATATATTCCTTTCTTCAATTTCATTTTGTTGATGTGAACATGGCAGAATGGTGCAGTATTCAGTACTTTTGAAATCTAACACTACTTGTAGTCATGTGACATTAAGATCCCTTTATCCTCTTCAATTAAATTTTGATAAAATAACCAATGATAGATAAATCCATCAGTCTGAATTTGTTCTTGAATGTCTAAAAAATAATAAACTGGAAGATGGAAATGTAAATTTGCTTCTTATGAACAGAAATGGCTCTATCTATTTTTATAATAATTGTTCATTCCTGACGCTATTTCTCTATCCCTGGACTTTAGTTAAAGGCAATGCATATATAAAGCACGTATTTATTTATTTATTTAGTTAGTTAGTTAGTGTATTTGTATACCGCCTTACTCAGCCGATCGGCGACTCAAGGTGGTTTAGAACATTGATTGCATTAGTGAATTTGTCATCAACGCAGAACACTTTTAATCTAATATTTGAATACTGTGGGCCTAAATTCAATACTTTTTTGACCTGCAATACCATTATTATGGGACCTCTTCTGTCTCTCCCACCTGCAGCTCTCTCCACTGCCCAGAAATAGTAGTTCTAGGGGTTTCCCTATTCTCCTGTGCCAGATTTGGGGGCGCATGTGAGTTCAAGAGGAAAGCAAGGGATATCCCTTCGAATTTCTACTGGATTCTGCTATTCTACTAGTGGTCATCCAATCTGGAAAAATGTTCTTTGTTCAGAAGATCACTTATCCTTTCCATAATCTCGTCAGCTTTCTTCCTCACTGCTAACAGCAGGAAGGAATTTCAAAGACATAACTGTGTTAGTATGGAATATTAATATGTAAAGGGATCTTGTAGCACCTTCGAGACTGAGAGAATGAAGTTGGTAGAGTAAGGGTTCATCTCTGTACTGTAGAGTGAATCCAGTTTGACCCCACTTTAATTGCAATGACCCAATTATGTGGAACCATTTGAGTTATTTTACAAGGCCTTTAGCATTCTGTGCAACATCATTATTAACCACAAACCTCAGGATTCCATATCATTAAGTAATGGCAGTTAAAGCTGTGCCAAACTGCATTAATTCTGTAATGTAAAATCTACCTCCTCAGATGCAAGCAGGAAGGAAAAGGCAAACTATGTAAACTTGGCAGACTGTAGGGAGCAGTGCTTTTCTTTCAATGCTGACAATCTGTTACCCAGATACATTGCAGCATTTTATATAGAATTGTATAAAAAGAAGAGAACCAATGGTATAATGGCCTGAGTGGTTCAAATCCTCACTCAGCTATGGAAACCCAGTGGTTGACCTTGGGCAAGTCACTTTCTCCCAGCCTCAGAGGAAGGCAATAACCAATCTCTTCAGAATAAATGTTGCCAAAATATCTTTTTGTTCTCCTATTTTAATTAAGTGTATGCTCTGGTTTATAACTTTGAAAAAGCAGTCCTTAGGTTAAATTTCACTCAGCAAGGCTTTACCACATGACAAAATGCAGCTTTGAAATTAATTGTGCACGGTGTCAACATGTACATTTAAGCCAAGCTTTTTCTTTATTATGCTTCTCTCCCAGTACCATGGGTTCCCGACACTCTGCCAGCCCCGTTATTTTCACCAGTGCCAGAAGTTCACCTAAAGAAGAGCTTCACTCTGCCACTTCTCCACAGCTTGCACCACCTTTCCCCTCCTCCTCTTCCTCCTCTTCCGGCCCTAGGACTTTCTATCCACGGCAGGGTGCAACTAGCAAGTACCTGATTGGATGGAAAAAACCTGAAGGGACAATAAACTCTGTGGGGTTTATGGATTCAAGAAAGTAAGCCCATTTTGGTTCTATTTTGGTGGGTGTTAATTTTTTACATGAACAAGCCTCTACAGTGCATAGCAGGCATCTTGCTTACAGAAAATAAGAAATTTAAGTGCAGCAGCTATTTAAGCCAATTAAAGTTCTTGTAGAACAAAATCCAAGAATTCTACAGAAATGTTGTTACGGTCTGTGAAGCCGATTAAGGTGTTTGTATTAAATTGTTTAATTGATTCGCTGAATCTTTAAAACCTCTCTTCATTCCCTTCAATTACTGGGTTTTGCTATCAAAGGATTTTGAAACGAACTTAAAACATTCTAAAACTCCAACCAGTGTTTGGAACCCCCACCTCTAGCTTTAAAATGAAAAGCACATTATACAAACGTGAAAGATAGGATGACAAGCTCTTTGAGAAAAGCAGTTTTGTTTAGAAGATCTGTATTTTTGTTCTTGATTATTAAATTAAATTAAGCTTGAAGTGTTTCAAATATTGTTAGTCCTGTCTAAGGTAAACTTATGTACCTTATTTAGGCAGAGAATAGGAAAAAATAAGCGTATACATGTTGTATATGCCTATGTTTAACTGTTTTCATGATTTTATTTTATAGTTATATGTCAGTGTTTAGTTATTGTGATTTTATTTTATTATATGTATATTGGCATTGAATTCTTGCCATTAATATGTTGTAAATCCCCTTGAGTTCCCCTACAGGTGAGAAATATGGTATATAAATATACTAAATACACTAAATAAATAAATATGTTTTGAAGAAGATAAGAATATTAGTACTTATAATATCCTTATCTTTTTCGCCCTGAGTCGCCTAAGGACTGAGAAGGGCGGTATACAAATATAATAAATAAATACTTAGATATGTCATGTCTTCTATTCTCCAAGCCACAACACACAAATGGGAGGGGAGAATTTATATTTTACTAGCCTCCCTACTCATCGGAACTAGCAAGTGGATTTGTAGATGCCTCCTAATGAGAAACCGTCCCAGATAATGGGTGTGCCCCTTTGAACGCAGGACAAATGGTAGCAAAATATATCATAGCAGTGTTTTTTCAGTGAGCCACACTGGCGCAATGGGTTAAAACCTTGTGCTGGCTGAATTGCTGACCTGAAGGTCAACGGTTTGAATTCTGGGAGCAGGGTGAGCTCCCGTCTGTCAGCTCCAGCTTCTCTTGCAGGGACATGAGAGAAGCCTTCCACAGGATGGTAAAACATCCAGGCATCCCCTGGGAAACATCCTGGCAGACAGCCAATTCTCTCACACCAGAAGCAACTTGCAGTTTCTCAAGTCACTTCTGAGATGATTTTAAAAACCCAGTGTTTTTGAAACATAGGTTTTCAAAAATGTTACAGCAATTATCTTCTGTTACTTCAAAAGAATTTACTAAATAGTATTTTAATTATTTGAGATAGTTATATCAAGTGTGGCATATTTATAAGAAGCAGTATCTTAACTGAAGAGTCAAAATTAAGCTCATATAAAACCATAAAAGTTGGAAGAGACTTTAAGGGCCACCCAGTCCAACCCATTTCCAAGCTGGAATACACAGTCAGTATTTATGAAATGTAATTGAGGTCAGAAATTAGTAGGCCAAGCCCCAAAAATATAGCAAGCTAAAGTGAATATGGGACTGATATGCAAAAATGGGAAGTAAACCAGATAGAATGGGAGAACTGTGTGATGAGGAAAGCATATGGTTGAAGTGACAGATTTGTTCTAAGGACAGCATGCGAAAGAGGAGAGCATGGTAACACAATGGAAATTGCGTACCTTGCATTAGCTGAAAGTTTTAGACAGAATTTTGATTGATTGATTGATTGATTGACCAGTCGATAGATGGTCTAGCAAATGGGAAAGCGGAGACAAATCATTCACAGTGTTAAACAGGTTTTCAATTTAAACGTGACAAATGTAAGCAAGTCTTCTGGTGGTGATGTGGTTAGGTTCACTTCTTTTTGCAATGGGGTTATTATTGCTGCATAGAAGGTGTATTTCTTTAAACAGGCATTTAATTGCATTCTGTACGTTAACCCATCCAAATTCTTGCTTCCCACCTAAATCTCTTATGTGAATAACTGGAAGTCTTCTGCTTCAAGCCCTCTGAATTCTAAACATGTATGTTCCCTTCTTTGAAGGCGTCACCAGAGTGATGGCAGTGAAATGGCACATCCTAGATTGCGTGCCTCAGCCAGAGATCTTCGAGCCTCACCGAAGCGATCTTCTAAATCAAATATTGAAGAAGAGTTGAAGAAGCTGATAGATCTTGACAGTCCAACACCAGAATCTCAGAAAAACTTCAAGGTACATGTTATTGGTTTGTTTATTCTGTTTATATCTTGACTTTTGTCATGAATGGGACTTAACAGTTTGTCATATAACTACAAATTAAAACACAAAAGCAAAAGAAGAAGAAGACGACGACGACGACATGGATCTTGCTCAAAAAATAGCAACCAGGAACAATTCTTTGCTTATTTATTTTACTCACATTTTATACTTTCTCCCAGAATGGGATATCTTTCTAGTGATACAGGATCAGTTGTGAGAGACTTGCCTGAGTAGACAGTTTTTTTTTTCTGCTGGTAGAAAGATAGCAAGGAAGATTAACACTCTTAATTAAGTCTGCTGATAGAGACTATGCTAACTTATAGAGTTATACTGACTTTTAGACCTGTATTCTAAATCCTAGTTCTGACCTTTAAAAACCTTGCATGACATTGGATAAGGATATTTTAATGAGTGCATTCCCATTGCATAGAGATCTACTATGGCAGGTGCCACCCAAAAGTGTAGCCAAGACTGAAAGAACTATATGGAAGAATTTTTTTTGTTGTAAAGACTTTCAGCAGTACTTTACTGTATTTCTTTGATGCCATGGATTGTAAGATGCACACCCATGATTCTGAGATGCACTCTATTTTTAGAGATGTTTATATGGAAGAAAGTGTCTTAGAATTGAAGAAATACAGTATATTGCCAACTATGATGAAATGCCACAGAAAAATGTGTGAATTTCTCCCCTGAATAATAACACTGCCACTAAGTGTAGCATGTTGATGTGATCCGCTTTGTGTTTGTATGCTTCTTCTTGCTGGCACTGAATATTTGCCATATATGTTGGAAACCACCCTCAGTCCCTCCGGGGAGATAGGGTGGTCTACAAATAAAGTTTTATTATTTATTATTATGTTGTTTCTCAAGTTTATATAGAGTGCATTTCAGTACAGCAGCTGCAACAATTTTAGAGCTTATTTCGACATGCAGCTAGGGAAGGGGGAGATAACACTTGTTTAAGAGCTGCTTGCTCCTCATGGAAGTTGAGTTCCAAATGCCAACTTATTCACTTGAGTGCTTCTTCCACCTCTGTGAACAGAGCATGTTGACTGAACTTTTGTATCATATTTTGTGCCTTGTTTTCAAACAACCAAAATTGCCTCTCAAACTTTTTAAAGTAAATATGCACATGAAGTAAGTCTACATAGATGTATTCCTTAAATCTTCACCAGAAGTACTAATGGCTTAATGATATTAAAACACCCAGTAAATAATCTTGAAGAGAGAGCCCTGATTTTTGAGACCTCTGTACTGAAAACACTGCTTAACATTTCATGGTTGTCAGAGATTAAATGGTTTCCACAGCAACCATGTAAAAGAGGGCACTTGCAACTTCTTTCTGTGCTTGTCAAAACCCAAAGAGGCTTATTAAAACTTGTAAGTATGAGGTTCTATATACAGATTATTTTTTTAGTGTTGCCTTTGAGGCTGAAGCAAAGGGAAATTGCTCTCTGCAAGCACTCTATTCCACACCCTCCTTCAAATGCCTGATGTTGGGGGAAAGGATGATCACCTTTCTTGTGACTCTTCAGACAAGGACTGTTGTCTTTTCAAAAAGTCCCTATCCATTTAAATGATTGATTATCCCACTTACTATTAGTGCATGTCTGTTTTGGAAGTTTTCATGATCAATGGAGTCTGTTCTCTCAAGTTATTCATATTTAGATGATAGATGATTGTCACTCGGTTAAGCAAATGATCTGCCAAACTGTATGAATTTTATTCTGTTCCCATTTCTTTCTTTAGAAACATCTGCTTTTAGTAGACAAGGGCAGTGTGACGATCCTTTCCTGACCCCTTGAAAATGCTTATTAAGGAGCACATAATTTTCCCCAATTTCTCACTTTCTACTTTGCCAAACAAGTGGGACAGATTCTGCTGTTCATCATTTGAAAAAGGCAAAAATATTTCACTTCAAAACTGAAGACTTGTAGCATGACCTCTCTTTGGGCAAAATGCCTGACTACAGGAGGGCATAACAAGGTAGCACACTTCTCACAGCTGGCAAAGATGTTTGTAAGATGTCTCTAATCATCTTTCACTGTAGAGGATGTGACTTGTCCTGTTCAAATCATACACAACACAAATCATAAAATGAAACAAGTCAAGATCAGATGAGAAAACACAAGGAGGTGGAAGTACACATTCATAACATCTGCTTATGTGGTGTTGAAGGGTCAGCACACATAAGCATTCTACAGAACTGTTGTAAATGATCATATACAACAATTTACAACAACTACTGCCTCTTTAACTTTACACTTGGCCAGAAAAGAGATAGAAAAGTGAGATGAAAGCCAGTGACAATGCTAATATAGGTTGTAAGATGAGATCCCCTGTAGTGAATCTGGAAAAAATGCCAGGTTGAGGAAGGTAAGTTTAAAATGACAAAACACTTTGAAATTAGCCAATGACTACATTTGTTTCTAGAGGTCAATTTGTAAACCCCGTGGCTACTAAAAACGATTTACTTATATGGATCAGTACATTGTTTTGTTTTGTTTTATTTTATTTATTCATTCTTTCCTGTTGCCCACCGGGTCCTGAAGTAATGTACATTAGATTAACACATTAATGAATTTACACCATTCAGCAAATTAATTCATTGTGAATGACAGAACCCTTGGGGTGATCAATATTCATTTTAATTTTCAGACCCAGTATTTCAAGTTCGATACAGTTCAGTTAGTCTTTTCATGTACAGCAGCTATCAGATATGCAATAGTCAGCCATTGATCGGGTTCCACATGGGTCTTCACCTCCCCTCAGCATGCCAACCTTTGTTACTGTGAGCTGTCTCTTCCCAGCCTGTGACTTTTGTCCTCCACTGGCGTTGGACCTACCCATTCCCAACATTATTAAAATTTTGATAAATGTAGACACATATAAACATTTGGTTGGTGCAGATGAGTTAGTTTTCTGGGCATGCAGTGAAATAACTCTAAAAACACTTCCACAGATGTAAAATACTAAATTCTGCTTACCTGCTTGCTTTGTATGCTGTCTTTCTCCTGACACAGGATCCAAAACTACTTACAGTACTTCAAAAGAAAGTTCAGCTAAAATATTATTTTCCGAAAGTTAGAAAATAATTAAACAATTATATTAAAAAAAACACTTGAGTGAAAACAGTGTAAAACCCATTTAAAATATAATTAAACCATAAATTACAACTGGGTATTATAAAATCATCCATTTGATCAAAGTGTAACTACAATATAATTTTGTCATTTAGGACCGTATCACGCAAGATAAGCAAACCAGCATTGCAAGCTGAACCATCACCTCTGATAACAGTTGCTATTACACAGTGTCATGTGCATTCTGCCTCATCAATAACTCCCCATCCTGCTTTGTTTCCTTTACCCACCTTAGTGTCATTGGCATTTTCCACTTCTTTGCCAGCATGCTGACAGTCACATAACATCAGTGGACACGATTCTCTTCCCTGCCCCCCTTGCTATTCCTAAGATGGCAGTTTTGGTTTTGTTTTGTTTTTTTAATTTATATCTTTGCCAGTCCTTTTAATGCTAAAATTGTGCAATTATGCTAACAAATAAAAATATTTTTTTAAATTTAGTGAACTAGCACAGTTATACAAATGATAGAGATTAATATTGAAGGTGCTCAATTCGATATGTATCTTATTTACATAGTGAACAGTAATTCTGCACTAATGTGATTGTTGCAGCACAGCGAGTGGAGGCGATAATGTCCATAGCCTTCATGTTAGTGGAGAAAGGGAAAAGAAAAGAAAAAAGACTCTACTTTTTATCTTCTGAGAAAAGGAGTGTGTGTAGTTTCCCAAGCCTGGATACCCTAAAGAATGAATTCTTAAGGCCAATATTTAAGTCTTGGTGGGTTTGATGGGGATTTTGACAATAGTTCCTGCTGCAGAACAACCTAATCAGCTCAGCCAAGAGCTTGATAACTTTGCTTCCATTGACCTGCAGACTGATGCTTCGTTCAGTAATGAGTGGGATTTTAGGCAGGGGGTTATGTAGGCAATTTTTTGCTGGATTGGTAAGCAAGACAGTCAAGAGAGAATTGAAGGATGATATATTTTAAATGTCTGATCTTATTCTTTCTGATCCTACCCTGATTATAGGTGAATGGCAAAGGATCAAACAATGGTAACTGATGAGACAGATGTAGTTAGGAGCAGAATGGATTAGAAGTTGGATGTGAGGATTCTAGGGTGAAATTTAACCAAGTAGGATTTTAATCTGAACCTCTCCAAGTGAGAATCTCAGTTTAAACCTGACTTTTGTGGTTCTATTTAATTGGCCGTTAAAGCAAGCAGATGATTAATGGAATGAAAGTACAGAGGTGCTATCTTTAATATTATCAAACGCTGGGATTTCAAGGACGTATTTAGGAGGATTGCCCTGTTTTTGTTGAGGTACAAATAGAATAAGAGGTGTAATTGGACTGTTTTTCGCCTGTTTGGAGCATTGTAATATGCATCTTTTAAGTGGATAACAAAACTGAAGGCCAAAATTCCCCATTTACTTATTCACACACATATATACACAAAGCAGCTACCTTTTTTTCTTTTGAGCATCCCAAATAAAGTTCACCCTTAACAAAGAATCCTTATATAATGGTAGTATTTGTAGTAAAGTCATCCCTTCATATATAACCTACCCAAATGATATCTCTGTCTCCTGGAAAGGCCAGGAGCACCAGGTATACCCACTTTTCAGGTCTGTGGTTCTTAATTCCTTGATTCCCTTCGGAACTCATCATAGAAGGTACCCATCTCAGATACAAACAGGCTTAGAATCCTAGAGTTAGAAGAGACCACAAGGGCTATCCAGTCCTATCTTCTGCCATGGAGGAATACACAACCAAAGCATTCCTAACAGATGGCCAGCCTCTGCTTAAGAGCCTCTAAAGAAGGAAGCAACAAGTTTCTTTTGAGCAGCTCTTACTGTCAGGAAATTCTTCCTAGTGTTTAGATAGAT